GGGTTTCTCTGTGTAGCTTTGCGCCTTTCCTGGAGCTTGCTTTGGAGACCAGGCTGGCCTTGAACTCACAGAGATCCGCCTGCCTCTGCCTTCCGAGTGCTGGGATTAAAGGCGCGCGCCGCCGCCACCGCCCGGCACCTTCTCCTTTTCTAAACAGTCCACACCACAAATCTAGGGACCGGTACTGCCCCCTGTTAGGCTGGGTGGCCCCCCACATCAACTTACATAATCAAAGGAAGCCCCCAACGCCCACCTCCAAAGGCGTGCCCAGAGGCCAACCTAATCGAGACCATCCCTCATTGAGAGTCTCTTCCCAGGTATTTCTAGAATGTGTCAAGTTGATAAAGCCAGCCATCACAGTCGGCTAACATCATTTCTGAACCCTTATATGTTATCTTAAAGGCACAGACAGATTTTGCACTCTAATCCACAGTCCGGTCATATTTGCTTTCACCACAGTATTTGAAACTGTTTATCAAGGTGGGAAATGAAGGTGACTTGGTCTTGTGCCCTCCAGCCACATGCCACTTTACTCAAAGGGTTGACATGGCCTCTAGCAGGTCACAGAACAGCTCGGTTGTGAGAATTTTGCAGGAGGATTCTTTTAAAAATGGACATTATGACGAATTAACTTGAGATGTACAAGAAGCATGCTTCATCTCACTTGATAAGCCACATTGGGCCATTCCCATCATGTGCCAGACACAGTCTCACAAAGCTCTGTTTCCTGGCTTCTGGAAGCTCACTTCTGGTCAAGGGAGCAAGATCCAGGAAGCTAACACCATAGTACTAATGGGACCCCAGGACAAGAGCTGTGGTGGACAAGGAAAAAAAAAAAGGTCAGAGTCCCTGAATGCTCCGGGCAGCAAGAGATTCCTGAGAGGTCCCACGTCCTAGCTAGACCTAGCTAGACGTCTGGAGGCTGCATTTTGAAGTGGCCACATCGATTACAAACACTCCAACCTTAGTTCTCCGTATAGATTTTGGTACAGGGAACCAGACAGGGTGGTATTCGACATCCGAAGATGATCCTTGCGTTAGATGTGAGGTTGGGGCACTGGAGAAAAGCGGAAGGAATGAGAAAGGCCTATTCTGCTTTTCTGCCCTCGTGGGTGGGTGTACCCTTGCCCAGAAGTCGGCGAACAGGTGAAAACTGCCTTCAAATCATGCCTCCGTCTTGAAGAACCACGCAGAACCACGCGTAAGCCCTTCCCCTCAATGTCTGCCTGCTCTCCAAAGATCCTGAAGGAGCAGGTGGGTGCTGAATTCTGTGTTGGAGAGGGGTGGTGACGAGCATGGGGTGGTGGCTCCTCTAAGGCCCTCTGAACTTACACAGGGTGGAGAAGGTTACCCTGCACACCTGCTCAAGCACTCATCCCAGCCCAAACACTTCCTTTTGCCCCTGGGGCCTCAACAGAGCAAGCAGGGGGCGGGTTGTTAAGATGATTGTTGGAAGGGAGAGGAATTTTCCATCAACAGCAACAACAATAGAAACTGCTTCTGGTAGAAAGACACGACACTCAGTTCGCCCAGTGCCTTCACACACCTGTGATCTCAGGATCCTAGAGCTGCCGGCGGCGGCGGCGGGACTCAGGCCTCTGACACTACCCCCTCGCTCACGTAGACACACGGCCGCTGCAATCTCCTAACCTTTACTAAGATGTGCGCTGTTCCCACCCTAAGGCCCCAGGAAGCAGTCCTAACTGCAGTAGTCCTCACGACTCTAAACCGTCCACCAAACACACACAGAGGCGCGGAAGCGTGCTCACGCAGCCCCGCCTTCTCCCAAAGCAGCTGCAAACTTCGGTCTCCCGGGGCTTCTCCTGGGGCTTCTCCCAGGGTGCACAGTGGGAGCCGCATGAGCGACTGTTCCAGGAGTGTAACCTGTACCCCCATCCCACCCTCTCCCTACGTGTGGCGAGGAGGGGGTAGCTCGCTGACTTCAAGAATCCTTGGGGAACCTTTCATAAAGTTAGGAAACAGAGTGTTCAAACACGCCGATTTCCCACCCATGAGGGGACCCAGACCTAAGAACCACGAGGGGCTCACACTCACGGATTGCTCCTGCTGCAGGAGGCACCTGTGCCCAAGTGTCTAGTGCCTCGCACGCCAAGTCCCATCGCCACCTCTACCCCCTCCTTTTCAGCTCCCCTCCGGCCTCGGATCTCCCAGGTCCCTTTTCCCCGACCGCCGCGGTGGTGCCACTTACCCCGGCCTCGGTCCATGGCGCCGGCGGGGATCCCGGGGCGCCCAGCCTAGGGCGCAGCGGCTGCCGCACGGGCGGCTTGCGCTCTTGGGGCTGCCCCGGCGGCGAGCTCGTCCCCTCCCCCAGACAGGATGCTCGCAGGACGCCCCCGCCCCGCCCTGCGCGCTCCCGGAATAGACCCGAGCACGCCTCGCCCCCCCTACGCCGCCCGCCGGTGTCCCGGTCCCGCACTGGCCAGCGCCACGCCCTGCTTTCCGCCGCCCTCCTGCTGGGCTAGCAGGGCCAGCCTCACTGACCACACGCTTTGGTGCCGTGCCCGGGGTGGCCGACCTGCTGGGGGGACCACTGACTTTTGCTTGCCCTCAGCTAAGGACAGGGAAGCTAACCACTTCACTCTCCAGTCAGGCTGCGTCTGGGGACTGCCTTGCATTCCTCTTTAGGCCCACCTTTTGGGCTTTGAGTTTATTATCTCCACTCCCAGAAGTTCTGAGCACCTTCCAGCCCAGACAGCCAGGCTGGTAAAAAGACAACAAAGGAGCCAGAGGGGAGTGAGAAATAATAAACAAGGATCTTCAAAAAGACAATCTCCCAGGAAAAGGAGAAACAGAAAAATGCTAACAAGATAGGCAGTAGACGGGGCTCACTTTCAACTTTCCGAGTTCCTAATGGACTAAAATGTGAAGAGATACCAAAACAGTGCGATAGACACTGTGGAAGCGAACAGTTTTAGCACCGAAAATACAATACAGTGCGTGCCTCTGAAGGTAATTAGGGGCTGCCGAAAATGAACTGCTACAGCCCAGCCAAGAGATTTAGTTTGAAGTTGTATGAGTGTGTCAACTCTTTTATTTCTGGTAGTGTGTGACTGTGGACAGCATCAAAGGCCTGACTTTGAGTCTCAAAGTCCAGGCGGATCTCTGTGAGTTCGAGGCCAGCCTGGGCTACCAAGTGAGTTCCAGGAAAGGTGCAAAGCTACACAGAGAAACCCTGTCTCGAAAAACAAAAAACAAGCAAACAAACAAAAAGACTTTGAGTCTCTAAGTGCGGTTCAAGCCCAGTGTTTGGACACGTTTCCCCAACTGGGCCTCGGTTTTGACTGAGCAGCTACTTTATAGCATATCTGATGCTTGGAACACTTCCGCAAAGGCACCGAAGCTCGAAATATTTCCTCCATTGTTTTTACCTGCAGGTTGAAATTGACATTACCTTTGCAAAATGAGCCCAGTAGCAAGTGAACTCCAGGAGTGGCTCAAAGCCACACAGAAAAAACGTGTCTGAAAAAAAAAAAAAAAAAAAAAAAGTTTTCTGTCCTACTCAGTAGGTACTGTGCGTTATGTCCCATCTTCGAGGCCTGCCTGCTCATCTGTGCTCAGGCAGACCTCATATTGACCTCACAGAGCCGTTGGCAGGGCAGATGAAATGATGATACAGACGCACTTTATAAACCAGAAATAGCTATGAAAATGTGAGCCATTGTTAGTTTTCAAGTTCCTCTTTGTTCCTGCCCACTTTTCCAATTTGAAAAGGTCATTTTCAGTTCTAAAGCAGCTAACCAACAATAGCAAGTGGATTTAGCTTCCTAAGTTCACTGCTTGAACTCTGGAACTTGGAAGTCATCTGCATATTCTAAGTTCCCAGGCTAGCTCGCTAGTTCAACATTGTACCCAGTGTGTTACAGCACAGAACACCGAACCCAGGGCCTTCCTCATGCAAGGCAAGCACTCTAGCACTGAGCACCACCCCAAGTTTGTATGCCCTCCCTCCCTCCCTCCCTCCCTCCCTCCCTCCCTTCTTTTTCTTTCCGAGACAGATGTCTTCCTAAGTAGCTCAGGCTGGCCACTAATTCATTAGCCTCTTGCCTTCTGCTCTGGAGTCTGGGAGTACAGTGACAGGCTACCATGTCCTCTGTTGAAATAATTTTCAAACAACAGTATAAAATATTACCATTGCCAAACAGATGGAGGTTTATGTAGACATTTTTTTTAAAAATAGAATTTTCAAGAACTTTAAAGGGTCTTGAAGTTTTATTCAGCTAATTGGAGCCAAGATTTAATGAGAATTTACATGTTTTTTTTTTTTCCTATGGGGGTGACCTATGCAGTAGGATTAACTGAACTATGACCTAGGAAATGTATAAAAACGAGAGTGAACGCAATCTATGCACGGCTCTGAGAATTAATGAAGTTTGTAGGAGGCACAGCAGCTCTGGCTTAGCCTGTAACTTCCTAGGGTGGAAATGCTGGCCAATTTGGCAGCTGTCAGAGTGAGCTTATGAGGTGCATGGAGAAGGCATCTGTGTGTTAATACAGAAGAATCACGATAGGGTTTTCTACACTTTTCCTTTATGGAGGAACTAGAAAAGTGATTCCCACCGTCCGTCAGTTCCCGGAAGCAGCATCCATTGGGGTCGGTGTAAGTTGGTGTTGAGAGAACAGATGTGAAGCAGGAGTGAGTCCCATCTTCAAGGTCTAGAAGAGGAGGTAATTTTAACACAGATCGCTCTGGAAAAAGCACACAAGAGAGATGAAGTGCTTTGGAGTCCATGAAGACAGAGCAATGGCTTCTTGCTGACCGTGGAGACAGCACCGGAGGAGAGGCGCTTGCCCAGAAGATAGCGTTACAGGCAAAGAAAACAGTGAGAGCCAAGACGTGGACATTGAACGTGGCAAGACTGTCTGCAGTGCGGTTTGGATTGGCCAGATCATGGGGTATCGGGTACTAGGTACGAGGACAAGTATGCGAAGGAGACTGTTGATGTCTAGTGTTTGATTCCCTTTTCTGTTTCTCCATATGTAACTCTGGCAGAGATCATGAAGACTTGCCTCCTGTCTTCTTGCTTGCTGCCTGCTGAGCTTTCCAGGTTCGCCTGGTGCTTGCCGAGAGAATTCCACACACAGAGGTCCAGCTTTGTAAAAAAAAAAAAAAAAAAAGATATCAAATTTGGCCCCTGGGAACAATACCAGGAAGAAAACTTTCAGCTCCATCCTGCTCCTGGTCTTGTGAAAACAAATGGTAGTCCCCAGACTCCCCCTTAGCTTATCAGGTAGAACGGGAAACCCTGGGAAAGCAAACTTGGGAGTCTGAAGGGCTCCTGTATCAGGGAGAGAAAGACTCTCACCTTCTAACCTGTCATCTTGCATCCAGGGTCAGCTTCCCCGATGGCTGCCAGAGTGACCTTTTCATGACCCTAATCAGACTATGTTATTTCCCCCTTAAATATATTCCACATTCTCCCTTGCCTTCAGTGGAGCGTTCAACTTCCTTATTATGGCGTTCAGCTGTTTTCTTTGCTGAGCTTGTAGCATTTCAGGAGACTCTGGGAAGTGTCCGAAACCGGACAGATCGGGATCAGATCTGAGGCTTGAGGTGTCGCTGCTGCTGCTGTGCGAGTCTCAATTCTTCCCCTGGGTCATCAGTGTATGATTTTCTACTTACTTACTCTCTCTGGGCTCCAGGTCCCTGTGCAGGTGGGTGCTGTGCCTTCCTCTGAGACTCCTATATCCCAGCTCAGCATTCTGCATCTGGTTAAGTAGTGAGGAAGATTTGTGACCGAGTCAGTAAACTCATGGCACCGGCAAGGACTACGACCATTCCTGGCTGTTGCTAATGCTGAGTCCAGGCCCGCTGTCCCTCTGGGAATGTCTTATTGGTGTCTATTTTCAGAAGGAAATGCAATTGCAAGGTGTTCTGTGGAAATGCCTTGGGCTCTCCAGGCTCACGTGGGCACCCGAGTCATACGGCTTCCTCTCCCATAGTCTTTGTTCAGGGTGATCCCCAAGCGCTTTGCTTCATGCTGGCGCCTGGATGAAAACCTCTCTTGTTCCACGTAGCACAATGTTGGCATTATAGCCCTGGTCCAGGCCAGTGACACATGTGGCTGGCCCACCCTGGGCCCCAGCCCCAGACACCAATCTGGTGACAGCTGCGGGAGGAGCGAGCGAGCACTCCTCCTTCCTGAGAGCCTCTCCATGCCTGCTCCAGGGTTTGTGGTTGATATGCAGCCCGGCTGGGGGGCTCCTGCTGAACTCCTGGGCTCAGGCTCACACAG